CAACCAGCGAGCGTCATGCGTGAAAGTTGAACTCAGGTAAAAGAGTTGAATTCTTTCAGAGGCAACTATTATATTAATCAATAAAGAGCCAAGGTTATGTGTAGGACTGTCTTTAGGACTATTGTTTAAATGGTGGTGGGTAGTGTGTAGGACTTTCTGTATGCCTATTATTTACATGCTGGCAGGTAGGGTGTATGACTGTCTGTAGGCCTATGTTTTGCAAAAATTAGATGTTAACTCTTTTTTGTAATACTTGGACCTACTGTTAATTTTCGCAAAATACCCGGACCCAGTGTAAAAAAACTGCACCTGATTAAGCCCTTATATTTTAAATTTACATTTGAATAATTTCTATTACAGTTGTATGGTGTGAGGCCTGAGAAAACAGATTTTCATCCATTTACCAGTCTATAGAATAACACTCGTTTTAATTTCCTTTTATTTTTAATATTTCACATAGTAATATCTTTCTAGCAGTGCCAGATTTACCTAAATGCACCTTTTATGGGCCGCGCAAAGTACAAATAATCCTTATTTTTAACTGATAACATCTTAAAATTAAAAGAAGTCTAAATACTTATACAAGGGGAGAAGAGAAAGAAGTAAGGGAAATAACACACACCAAATAGTTTTCCTGGGATGCTCATTATCAAAGTACGATGTTTGTGTGACTGTTGGTTGTGATGACAGGAGCGATGAGAAAACAAAAAGATTTGGTTACATGAAAGCTTGAAAATCGACAACAAATGAGTTCATTGACTCATGCACATACAACACCACCACCACCCCCAATTTGACTAAACAACAGAAAAATTTGAAACAAAAGACTTTGATAATTGATAGTCATTATATCAAAGAGTTTTTTAATGCCACTCTTCATTTGTTTAGGCACTAGGGCACAGCCTACAAAGGGAGCCATATCAAAAACCTTGCAAAGTGGGGGTAGTCTAATGGGTGGTCTTAAATTATCCTAAATTATTGTAAATGTGCCTATATCCCTATCGTAGGAAGGAGTCAGCTGTTAGCTCCACAGGCTGGCTCCTCTTTTATAAATGTGACTGAGGGGGGAGGGGCATTTTTTTTAAATAAATAAGATGCAGAGTATAATTTTTATGATGAAAAAAGAAATTTCGGTATCCCCCAAAATGCATTAGAATTTATAAAAAATTAACTCAAGCTCCTCCCCAAACCCCTTTCCACACTAATTCTGTTCAGTTTTTAGTCTTCGATGAGGCACCATTTTTTCTCTGCTTAGCCATCATATTTAACAAAAATTTTATTAAAGCTCAAAGTACTGGTAGATGATAATCAGTGGCATAGGGAGGGGATTGTAGAGGGTATGGTCTGCCACTGGTGGTACTTTTTTCTTTATATTGAGGGGCAGCATTTTTGGCCAACTGCTGAGCTTTTTTCATTGAAAGGAGGTGGTAAAAAACCTTGTCCCACCTCGGTTGGCAGCAGCCATAGTTGCACCACAGTTGAAAGATATAACTTAATACCGGCACTGCTTTTTTGTCTTTTTTGGTCCTAAATTTGTCTGTTGAAGAGGAATTTTATTAAATACATTTGTTGTTTTGTAAATGTTTTCCTTTTAAGTTTGAACATACCATATGGGAGAATGTTAGAAAAAGTATGATATGTGCAAGCTTTAATAATCAACTGTATATTTATATATATTATTATATATACAAATGTATTTATATTTAACTTATAAATTACAGTTTGCGATAAATTTGCTGACACTTGAATTATCTTTGGTAACTATACAGATACATAGGAAATCATTGGTAGAAAAGTTGTGTGTAAGTGTAATTTTTTTTTTTTTAAATACATTTCTTAAGGAAAAATATCTAGTTAATGTTTCTATTTCTCTCTCTATCATTTTGTGCTTGACAATTCTTATACTGCAAATAACTTTAAAAATTAAAACTATCTGCAACCTCAAAATAAATCAAAATCAGTCTCTCTCCTGACTCATTGACATATTGTTTTCCCAATCAAAGGTTCTTTATTCAGTCTTCTGTGTCAACATGGTATGAACAAATGAATCTTGTCCATATCAATATCAGGTACAGTCATTCACTTTGTATTAAGCAGTTAGATACCTATGAATTAATTCACTTGAAAATTATTTTTCTTCATATTCTCTATTTACTGTTTGTCTCCGAGCCAAATAACATACGATTCTTTTATTGATCCATTTAGATTTTAGATTGAAATTAGTGTAAAAACATTACACATAAATTTTTCAGATAGTCTTTGAGTTTGAGGTTTTGTTGCTTTTTAAAATTGGTTTGTAGCAAGGCATTTTGGTGAACCATTGTGTTGTCAGATTATTCAAGAGGAAAATTAACTTCGATGGCATGAAAATAGACCTTCATCAAATTCTATTGCATATGGTTATGTCATGTTCTCTTTCACATGTTAGATCTTTTCTCTACCCCCTCCTTTTTATCAACCACTGTGTTACTCTCTTTGCCTATATTAATTTTCTTACCTACTTATGGTCTACTACAGGGGTGGGAAAACTACGCATGCGGCCCTGCAACTGACATTAAGCAGCCCATCAAAGGCATTTAGAAATAAAAAAATTACTTTATTTTAAAGTTATTTTGATGACTTTTACTTTTACAGAATTTCTTGTACCGTTATGATTGTTTTAACATTTTTGATGAAATTGCTTTCTAATTTTCTATTTTTTTAACAGTCCTCGACTTTTATCAAGTAATGCTAAAATGCAAATTTACCGATTTTAATATAGAGAATTGTTTATGGACATGTAAAAATTGTACATAATACACACGTGGCCCCCCAATAGCTTTACATTTGTCAATGTTGCCCTCCGCACAAAAAGTTTGCCCACCCCTGGTCTACTACATTCTTCTTGCCGTCCTTTCGATAACAATATCTTGGAAACAACATTTCAACTAAGTTACAAATTTGATATTTGTGTTAGTCTTTATTTATTCACTGAAGAAGGCTTCTGGTCGACACTTTCATTGTTTTGTTGCATTCTTTTTTCCTTTTTTATCATACCTTGTTTCACACATTTCCTTCTACCTAAGCCTGATCCCATATTATCATATGACTAGGTAAAGAGTTAAATCACTTTAACTTGCCTTTGCAAGCATTGTTTATTTTAAAAAGTAAATAGTTCTTCGTTTGATGATAATTTAAAGATGGGTATCAATTTTTTCAAAGACAAGTTTACACCCCCAAAAAAAACAAATAAAATTTAATTTCTTATTGCATATTTAACATATTTACAATTATTAAAACATGTAAACTAAGTAAATACAAATGAGACACTAGGATAGTAACTACTATTCTATAGAAATAATGAAAATGGCTATAAAACGAGGACACTTTGACACTTCAGGATCAACCCGAAACAGAAAATGAGGTAGGGCAAGGAGGGTGCATCACAGGTCATAGGCGGAACTAAACAGATGAGTTTTAAGGGACTTTTTGAAAATGGACGAGGTTTCACTATGACGTATATGGAAGGGGAGCTGGTTCCAGAACGTGGGCCCATGGAAGCAGAAGGAGCGTTCACCGATGGTCTTAGTTTTAGTTCTTGGGATTGAGAGGGTTCTACTGTCAATGGAAGAACGTAGTTGTCTTGTGGGGATGTAAGGAAGCAACAGTTCAGAGAGATAGACAGGAAAGTGAGGGTCAGTGAACGAGTTGAAGCAAAGATTGGCAGACTTGTATTTGATGCGAGAGGATATTGGAAGCCAGTGGAGTTGCCGCATGTGTGGTTGAATGTGGTCATGTTTCTTTGATTTAAAAATGAGTCTGCATGCTGAGTTCTGTGCCTTCTGAAGTTTTTCTATGTGGTGTTGAGGAATGCCTGAGAGAAGAATGTTACAGTAGTCAAATTTTGAAAGAATGAGTGAAGAGACGAGAGTTTTTGTGGCATCAAAGGAGAGGAGGTGTCTAATGGTGCTGATTTTTCTAATTTCGTTATATGCTGATCTGCATATATTCCTATACGTTTCCTATAATACATTTAATTCAAATCCTTTAGCTAATCATAATGTACATAGTGCTTTCTTCTTCTATATATTAAGGGCCAACGATCAATTTATTGATCATTTTGGCTACTATGTATGTAGAGGGGCTTTGCAATGTTTCTGTGTCTGGTATTGAAGAGGATATTTCACTGGTTGCAAGGGCTACTCAGAGAGGATATCATGAACTGGTTACAATGGCGTAAAGCACTATGATTAATCACTGAATTACTGGTTTCAATTTTGTCATGTGAACAAGCAACACAAGAGTGCATTTTTTTTTTTGGCAATAGAGGCAAATGTGTCAAGTGTTGTCGAACTGGCCTTTGGAAGCTTGTTCCAGTCTCTGATTATCTTTGGCAGGAATGAGCTTTCCTACACTTCTGCACAGACTTTCTTTGCGTTATGCACTGTAAGAAAATTTTAAATATTTTCTACTTGATTATATTATAATTACAGAATGTCAGAATGAATTTTTAAAAGAATTATTTAATCATTAGTTTTGCAATTATATAATAAGGCTACAATTAAGATTAAAATAATTATAGAGGATAAATAAGTATTTAATTTTTGCAGAAGTTCCTGCATGGGATTACCCATTTTTTAATGCTTTTTATTTAAAAATAAAAAGTGTTTTAAGTCAAATGCTTATCCTGTTTGATAAAAAATAACGTACTATTAAAACTCCGTTGTCACCGGTAAATATATTTTTAGAACTTAGTAAACAAAAGACTTCTTCGATTGTCACTTACGGTAATTGTAAGTCTCGAACTTCATGTTTCTATAAAAAAAAAACGTAAAAGTTAGTAGAGGCAAACTTAGGACTAAAACCCAGTCATCTTAGTCTTAGTACTCATTACTATTTAAATTGTTAAGTATGCTTGATTCATTGTAGAAATACAAAATTAAAAACTTAATAGTATTTATTTTATTATTATTATTATCATCATGCCATCTAAAATATCTAACTTATGACATGACGATGACGATTCAATTCTGACTGACTTATACTATCATTGTCATTGACTATGACTCAGTATGACTGTGAATACTATTACTATGATAATTACATCTACTTATCTCACTCGGTGCTTCAGTAACAGGCCAGTGGACATATTTTGAAATTGCAACAGGACCGGTGCTAGATTTATGATTTAATAATTATAAATTATATTTATTTAACCATAATTATAATAAATATTCATTATTTATTATTTTTATTAATCATTTTGCCAACATTATTATTGTGGCCAGTCCATCATAGTGACCATAGACCACTATTTTTGTGGAACACTGATTTGACTGATCCAACTAACACTACTTACCACAGATAGATATCAGTAATATCACTCCACTAGACTTTTCTGTAAGTCTTCTGAGGCAAATAACCCAATATATTTTTTTAAACAGGTAATGTAAATGAAACCTTTAAGTACCATACTCATACTGCTACAAAAATTTAACTAACTTTATTATATGGCTTAAACTTAAATGGCACTTCGTTTTGGAACTATTTAATTAAGTTGTTTTGCTACTTTTAGATTGTGTTTCATTTTAGATCAACTGCTTAAAATATATTCATTTTGGAATTTTAAAATCTTTCTATGTGCTTTTGTAGAAAAGTAGGGATAATTAATGTCTTGAAAGTAAAAAGTTGTCAAGATTTCTTACTCACTGTTCAAATTCAAAGGAATCAAATAGGGGGGTTTCGTCTGCACCCCCATTGCAGCATTTTGTTATAGTCTAATATTTAATTTCATTATATCAAATAACTATTTTTACTGAATCTTGAATTACATTATGGCTGAAGCAGTGCTAAATTCTTTATGTTATTTCCTTTTCATTTGCACAGGGTATTTTATCAATTGATTTTCATACAGGAAAAAACAACATTTTTCAAATTGGTGCTTACATTTTAATTGTTCATCACAAGTTTAGCTAGTTCTGTGCAGTGCAAACCAAAAGCAAAGACAATGCCAAGTTTAGATGGAATTGATCTTGTCAGTGGCACCAAAGTACTTTTGTTATGGGCTGGTGATCAGATGTCTCCTCAAATGCAAGAATTGGCATCCACCATATCACAACAAATACACAAAGGTGATGAGGGTAAAATACAGCTGGAACACATTGATAGACTATTATTATGTAAGTATGTTAAAGCGGTGCTAAAATAATATGGTTGATTTGCATGTGCTTGGAGGTGATAGATCTATAGTCAGTAGTTTTTATGGTGACTGACAGCGAATCCGGAACTGAAAAATATTTAGCCTCACGAATCCGGAATTCCGGGATGGCCCGGAAAAGTGGCACCCCTGGTGACTGTTAAGTCAATTTTAAAAAACCAAAAAAAATGCCCTCTTGGGTCGCTTGTCCACATGACAAAATTTAAACCAGTGATTAATCATAGTGCTTTATAAAAATAAAGTTCTATCATCACTTTAAGTCATATTTTTTGGCTACTTATTTTGTGTGTGCTATATATGCATTTGGTTATTTATAGGTACAAACATATATATATATATATTTGTTTGTTTGAGAAGCTTTTGTGAGGGGAATAAAATCAGTTTATTTCCAGTATAACTGTCTCAATTTTTTCCATTTTATTTACACCAGCTTCCCACCCGTCATCAACGTATGATGTTGTGATTTCGGGGCTTGTCAACCCAGTACACACATGCCACACCACTGAGGCTCTAGGAGAACTGTGCAGGATCCTCAAACCTCAAGGAAAACTCTTCATGCAAGAGTTGGCATTTGCCAATAATGTTGAAAACAGCAGTGTCAAATCTAAAGATAAGCTTGTCTCTATTTTAAAAGTGACAGGTTTTGTCAATGTCTCTCAGGTAATTAACAAAGTAAATGCTATTTGATATATTTGTGACTGTTCATAATTTCATGCCTCTCTATGCGAAATTGTTTTAATTTGATAACAATTCAAAATATTGTTATTATTACCAATAATTTTAAAATAACATATGAAATTGAAATTCATTATTTGCAGCCTGTTGAAATTCCTTTAGAGGATGATGAAAAGTTAGAGCTGAAACAGAAGCCAGAGTTCAATAATGAAGCAGTTCTGTACAGAGTTGTGGCACAGAAGCCGGGTTATGAAATAGGGTCATCATCCCAGTTGAAATTATCTTTTAAGCCCAGCCAACCTGGTATGTAAATTGTCAGAACATATAGAGTTATATAATAAGCTTTTAATTTTTTTAAAAAGGGCATAACTTTTTTTGTAAATAAATAATTAAATAATTTTTCTGTTGAATTAAAACATTTTTTTTTTTTACTTTATCCTATCCCATGGTATCTGAAATCTAAGGTCATGATGTCCCCATACATTGCTTGGTGATTTCAAACTAGACAAATCTGTCAATTTTTTATGTCTTTAATAAGATAATTTATTATTTTGATAAGCTTTTTTAAAGTAAAATATTTTAAAATAAAATTTGTATACTGACATAAAAGCTGTTGTAGTGTACAGGTTAAGGTTTTCCATTACCCAAAACCTGAGTTATTCTTATAAAGCTAGCATTAGTTTTGTATGCTTTGTTTTATGTCACAGTATTCTCAATTTACACGATACAATGGAACCTTGGATAATGAACACCCTATTTAACAAACAAATCGTTTAAGGATAAAGTTTTGTGGAAAATTTTGGCCTTGTTTAACAATTGACAGTTAGGTTACGAACATAGGCATACGCCTGTACACGTAATCCCACCAGCTCAGTAGTGCTATCCCTGTTTGCAGTAAACTTTGTAATTTTTGTTGATTTAGCCTTAAGTGGAACCTAAAAAAAAGTGTTACTAAATCGAACTGTGTTGGTATGAAAGTAAAGAAAACATGATAATTTCCTTCATGTTTCGGATATCTCCAAGCAGTACAGTAAAAAACAAATAGGAAGTAAAGGTAGCTGATGTGACAAAAGGAGTTGACTGTGTTAATGAAGCAAAGTCTAAAGTGCTAGAGAAAGTAGAAAAACTGCTATTTGGAGAAATAAAATTCAGCTGGTTGGAGAAGTGTTAGCATGAAAATAAATTGTGGAAAGGTACTAGGAAGTTGCAAGGTGATTCATTGGCCAAAGCACTGAGTAAACTATCCAAGCTGGAGATGTTTAAGCAAGTTGAGGGTGGTTTGATCATTAAAATGCATAAATGCCATATATTTCTAAGGTTAGAAAAAAATTAATTGAATTTACATTGATTTCAATGTGACATTATTTCGGTTAGCAAACGTTTCTGGTTAAGATCAGAGTCGAGTAACCGATTAAGTTCATTACCCAAGGTTTGACTGTATTTTAAAAAATTCTTAGCTTCTCACTTCCAGCCATAACCTATTAAATATCTAATAATGCTCTATAATCCCCGTGATGTTTTTTTAAGTGAATTCAGTAATGTCAAAGACATTTAATATCAAATTATGCTCTAAATAATAAAATAAGCTGATTGTTTTTGTAAAATTGGCAATAAAATGCACTCTTTCATTTTCAAATAATTAGAAACACTAAATTGTGAGATTATCCTGTGTCTTCATTTGTTTTAGTCAAAGTGGATGAGAATGTGACAAAAGTTTGGAGTCTGAATACAACTGATTTACTGGATGATGAAGTGGACCTCGTCAATGAAGATGACTTACTTGACGAAAAGGATTTGAAAAAACCAGACCCTGCTTCCCTTAAATGTAATTCTTGACAAAAAAATTATTTTTTTTTAAGTTCCTATTTCATAAAGCGGAATGATTTTTTTTACATCTCTCTTATAAATCAAATAGTATTTTAAAAGCTGTTATTTTATTCATTTTCAACTTACTTTTAAATAGTTTTATGTCTGCCAAAAGTTCAAACAAAAAATTATTTTATATTTCAAATCCTAAATTCTTATGTTTATTTTTGCCCTTAGTTGACTGTGGAGTTGGTCCAGGAAAGAAAAAGGCATGCAAAAACTGTTCATGTGGATTGGCTGAAGAACTTGAAAAGGGAAAACAGACTGAAGTACCATTGAAAACATCTGCATGTGGAAATGTAAGTTATAAATAAGTGGTAATCCACAAATGACATCATCGCACATCTAGGGGGAGAGAGTCCACAAATTTGTGACTATTTGGGAGGGGTAAAAAATCTGCCAAAATAGCGTCTTGTCATTTATGGATGGCCCCCAAGTCATATCAAAATCATTATAGTGATGTGCAAAAGTTAACTTATAAAGTTGACTCAAAAAGGGTTACTGATGTGATATAATTACATTTTTATATACAGCTTTTGTCCAGTAAAAACCTTATTTAAAAAATAATTTTAACCATAGAACTGTCATTATGGCTTATGATCAGCTTTTATACATTTTTTGTGGTGTCAGGGCTGATATACTCGGCCCCTAGTAAAATCGCCATTAGATATAATGTAAATAATTAAATCTACACTCGTTAAGGGTAAATTACGCTATAGAAATGATTTTGCACCCCATTTCCTTTTCTCTCTGTGTGTTAATGTGCTTTTATCAGGGATGTTGTGTGATTAGTTTGTAGTAACTTGCTAAAAAATATTTATTTATAAATTTATATATAAAAAATATAAAATGCCATTATGTCTGATGCTGGAGAGGGTACCCCTTTAGATTGCAAAATCAACACAGAATTTCTTTATTGGATTATTTCAATGGATTAAAATAAAAACAATGATGTCAGAGATATTCCATGTTCTAGTAATGACAGTATTAGTTTTGCCTGTGATGGCCACATAAGAGTCAGATATTGACAAGCTTAGCTGTATCTTAACATACAAAGTTGTTTGGGAAAGGGTGGAGATTGAACATAAAAGACAAAGATTTGATCCTAAACATTTACCCTAAAGAGATTATTAATTAATTAAAAAAATGGATTGAATAGATTTATTGAAAAGCATTTTTTAAACTCATTTCATGTTTCCCACTTGTATTTTTTGTAGGACAGAAATGTGAAGGTAGTGAATTAGTGAATGAAAAATTTCAACAAAATTACATTTTTCAAACTAAGTACCTATAACTTGGCATATTCTGAAAGGATATTTCTTTTAATATCTAAACAAAACAACTGATATAATGATAGATATAACAAAATAGTAAGATTGGAGTGGATTGAAATCAGCAGTTGAGTAGTAAAATTTCACTCACTCTGTAAAGGTCAAGGTCAATATTAACATTACATAATATAAAAACAAATTCTTTTCATACCATAAGATACCTTGTTTAATGTACTTTCAGAAAATGTTTACATGCTAGGGTCTCTGAAATCCTATATTATGGGATTTTGTCATTATCGACAAACAAGAAAGTGCTAAAAATGGCTTGGCACTACAGAAAAATGCACTTTTAATTTGTAAAAGTTATTAAAAATTATAACCAAAACAGAAATTATTTTTAAGTTAAACAACCACTAAAAACAAAGGTGTTTGTATAAATCCTCTATAAAATGTAATATCAAACAATGGGCGGTGGGGCAGAAAAATTTGACAAAACATGCATGCAAGTAACACACTTTATAAGAATCCCAATTATTGCTCCTCCCCTTCCCAAGGCTCGCAACCACACCTTTTTTCACGCCCTGAACTATATAAATATTCTAATTACCAACACGCTTTTATACAGCAGATTAATTTCACCAACTATATCAGAAAAAAAAAAAAAAGAAAATATTACACACCAAACGCACTTGCGATTTTTTTAAAATTACCTCATATAACGCAGTTATAGGGAATTCCATTTGGATTTTTGGGTGTAAAATTTGATCGATTATGTTGTCATTGGCAATGAGTCTTTGTGCAAAATTTGAGCTGATAGCTTGACAGGAAGTGGGACCATTGGCCGCCTGAAGATTTTGCTCGCCAGTCAGTCACAAACAAAAGCAAAGTTAATATAAAGGACTTTTAAAAAGTTATGCTGAAAGTTTGGTAGTGGACTTACTTCTCCTCTTTTCTTTCCCTTTTTACTGCCCTCTTGGATACTACTTCTCAGCTTAGTGCTATTTAAAAAATTTTATTGTTTTTTCTGTTGAATGTTCGCTGACGAAGGCTTCCTTCCGACAAGCTCGTTGTTTTATTGCGTTCCTTTTTTCAGGTTTGACCTTACAAAACAACTTACCCAGACTTCATATATTTGCTACAGACATTTCCTTCAAAATTACACCATTGTCTCTTAGTTTCAGATGAATGCAAAAAATATTTAAACTAATTTGAAAAAATTTTAATTCAAAAATTTTAATGCTTTTTTTTAATTTCCATTTTTTTCAGTGCTACCTTGGAGATGCTTTCAGGTGCGCAAGTTGTCCTTATCTTGGTATGCCAGCTTTTAAACCAGGGGAGAAAATTCAGTTGTCAAATGGGCAACTCAAGGCAGATATATAATATAATTGACATTTGATTGAAGGCTTGATATTTGTGGAGTATTTATGAAAAAATAATTTTATCTTATCTTCTGATACCATAAAATGTATTTTTGAACCAATGTGTTTGTGGTTATATTGGAAAAATTGTAATCGAGTTGCTTCATTAAAATCTGCCAATTTTACCTTTTTTACTTTGGTAAAAATGTAATCTGACTCATAATGGGCTAAATGAGGAAGTTCATCCTCAAGCTATAGAATTTGTCAAATTTATAATACTATGATTTTGGTTTAGATTTCCAAAGAGGCACTAAAACAGAGTAGCGGTAAATTATTTTGTTAATTAACATTTTTATCTTCTGTCTTTTGCTCCAATTATTATTATGACTAATGTTTAGAGAATAAATTCTTATCAATTCATGACTATTTTCTTCAGTCAATATTGAAAAAAAAAAACTTTAATTTGTTTAAAATTATTTCAGAAATACTGATTCTTAACACAAGCTACTAATATATTTTAAATTGTTTTGTTTTTTTTAAACATACTGGATAATTATTTCATCCAACTCAAAAATAAGTATAAAGAGGAAAGATGAGATATAGATTATGCTCTAAACAAAACAAACAGTATGTGGACAATTTTTTTATTGCATATAATACAGTTTGATTTTTAGAAAAAGTATTCAAAAAAGCTTTACCTACAAGTAAAATTGGTTATAAAATTAAAACACATTTTGTAAAAAATTCAATACATTATACATCCAAAATTGATTACATGTATAAATTCATTTTGATTTCCAAACTAGCATCCATATAAAAACAAAATTGCACCAATTGGATGTAAAAATATAGTACAGTTTGATATTTAGAAAAAGTATTCAAAAAAGCTTTACCTACAAGTAAAATTGGTTATAAAATTAAAACACATTTTGTAAAAAATTCAATACATTATACATCCAAAATTGAATACATGTATAAATTCATTTTGATTTCCAAACTAGCATCCATATAAAAACAAAATTGCACCAATTGGATGTAAAAATTTGGCAAAGCTAATTTGGCTTTTTAAGAAGGTTAAGCTAGAAAAATATTTGTTAATAAGAATATACTGGTATAAGGATTTACTATTTTAACTCAGGGCTATGAAATGTGGACTTCATTGCATTGGTTAAAATTTCACAGAAATTAAATGAATAGGTGGCTGAAACAAAGTTGAAGATAGAAAATAATAATTATTTTTTAAAATAAATATGACTAGAGACAACATCAATACTGTAATAAAATTTAAACTTCCATTTGATTAAAGTTAAAGCACAGAGTGAACTGGCTGTTGAAAATAACTAAAATACACAAAGTGCCATACAATTTTAAAATAAATATTTGGTATACATTAAAAAATGATTAGTAATAAATAAATAGAGCTTACATAACACAGAATAAAGTAAAATGTCTTTGCTGCAAAACTTTTACAACCCTTTGATAAAATCACAAGCAAAGATTTAAACATAATTGGCTAACTGTAGGATGAGTTGAAATCATTTGGTGAAATCAAATGTAAAGGTTATAAGATAAACTCAAATAGCATAATTATTCAATATCTTGCAGTAATAAATTAAATGTCTTTTGGTGTGTGTGTGAATATTTTAAAGGCAAAAATCAGTTCATTCAAATTTTGACAAAAAACAACTTTTGTTTGCAAAATTGACATGGAAAATAAAATTTATGAATATTAGAAACAGATAAATATATAAATGTGTTTATATATTAAGGCTAATGATTATATTGTTTAAAATCACAACTCTCACATGGACTACTGGTGTAATATTGTGAGACAAGTGGTGGGGAAGAGAGGGTGGGTGTGTGTCGGAAGGAGAAGTTTGCCTTAGCTTGCCTCAGCAGTGTCGTGGTATTTCTTCAAAGAAAGTTATATCTTTCTGGGTCTAAGAAAATAAATTTAATGGGAGAGGGAGAAATATAAGTAGGGAGTATGCCATTGGAACAATCCAGTCATGTTTTATTGACCTCAAGTTTTATCTATATTAGTATTATTAGGGCTTCAAAAAAACAAAAACAAAAAAAAAGCAGAGGACATTATAAAAGAGTTGTTATTGAGATTAAAATTAAACACATGCCAATGTTATTTAAAAAATCCTTAATGTCTGCACTTTTTTCAATTATTAAGAATTTAAATTGTTCACTAAATTCAGCTTGGATTTTAAATAAAGATTTTTTAAATGTATCTAATGCCTCTAACCTGGATTTAACTGAATTTACAAGAAAGACTGCTATTTTTGTTTTGTTTTTTTAAAACCTGTATAGTTATTTTGTCTATTCTGGGGAAATAATAGATGTGAGGGATCATCTTGAGATATTTTTTTAGAAAGTAAAAACTGGTCCATGACTTCATTATTGATACTCTCAAACACTGCACACAGTGACAGGCATTAATTATATGACCATGAACAGATGAATTTGTTGTTTCCACATAAGATCTGCTACATTTTCTAGGAGTACCAGCTTTGAGTTTAGACTACCAGCTCCATAAACTCTCAAAATCTGGAACTGATCCTTCTGGTTGAATGCTAATTCAATCTGATTAGAAGAAATTGGGAAAATGTCTTTATCCCAGCAAACAGTAGCTTTTACCTGCAAAAAAAATTTAAAAATTAAAACTGGGTTTACAAAAAAAAAAATTTTTTTTTTTAAAATATGAAATTATTTTGCATTAAAAATAAAAAAATAAAAACTATCAAATTTAATTTTGATTTTAAATATTTTTGTAAATTTTTATTAAATTTTTCACTGCATGGCAATTGCAGAAAGATGAAGTAAAAGGCTCAAAAGCATGCTCCATCAGCAGCTTTAGCGGGGCTCCTCAACACTACAAAATTTAAGGACTGTCTAATACTGTCTATAAATATTTGAAATAACTTGACTTGTGAGTAAAAGTACAAGTCTAAGAACTTTCGAATGTCTTTATAAAAATGAGACATTCTTTTTAGGTTAATAATCGAGGCAATAACTTGAATTTCCAGCTTGTGTGTTGTTTTTTTGTGTATGGCCCTAATCATCAGAAAGTGATTTTTTCCCCTTTTCTCGTGTTTTACTTCTTTATCATCAAATGCCTACACAACTGTGCTGTGACAACAAATATTAGTGCCATGTGAAAAATCCGCGTCATATGCGTAAGTAGCATGGTCTGTTACAAACATTTTACAACATTTCTTTTGCTGCCGACAGATACTACTTTCGCAGCTAGGTGCTATTTCTTATTTTTATTCTTATACCGTTTTTTCTGTTGTTTTGTTCGCTGATGAAGGCTTTCTGCCGACACATTCGCTGTTTTGTTGCGTTTATTTTTTTCAGGTTTAACCCTACTCTGTTTTACTCATTTTATACTGTTACAAACATGGGCTATTACAAACATGGACTGATACACCTACCTCTACATAAACTGTACGAAGCTTATCAGGCTCATTGGTTCTATATTTTACAATAAAGTCATATGGCAACCCTTTCTCCCCATCGGAGTTGGCCCATTCCACTGAATGAATGTTTTGATTGGATCGCATCTGCTGTCTCAGATACTCAAGCACAAACTGTTCTCCCCACTGACCAACTTCAGAGCTTGGAGCTGTTGCGCTAAGTTCTTGCAAATCTATGTTCAATGTACCTACACAAGCCAGCTCAGTATAAACTAGTTCATTGCTGTTATCATTCCACAAGGGGATACCTATTTGAATGTTTTTTTTAAAAAAGAAAGTAGTAATTATGGTGGAGAAATGCAATTTTAGAGAATTTAATTGCTTTTAAAAAATACTATATTTACAGTACAAAAGAAAAGTTTACCCTAAGTGCGTAAAGACCAGATTTAACAGAGATAAAAGAAAAAGCAAACATTGGCAAAATAGAAGTAAAAACAAATAAATGAAGGCTGCTCATTTTATTTTTGTATAACATTAAGATAAAGAAAACGAGACATTTAGTTGCTTCACCTTGAATGTAATATTGGGCATTCTTTCAAACTTAAAAAAATGTACACCATATTAACTAATACATTTAACTATAAAACTAACATAACAGGATGGAGGACTTAATACAGAGTTTGGAAATCTTTTTATTTACCAGACACATTTTCAATATTAAATCCAGAATAGGAGAAAATAAACCACTATATAAGTTTAGTCCATGACTAAATTATGCAGACCTAACAACCCCAAAAGATATTTTTCTGTCCAAAAGCAAAACAAAACATGAAAGTAAAATTATGTTTATCAGACTAAAAAACAAACAAAAAACGTCCCCCATAATGTAAATGGCTTTGGCTAAATTAAAGGGGAAATGAATTCTTGTAATTGTAAGGCCCTGGGATTTCCTTAGGGAACTAACACAAAAACAAAGTTTAGAGATAATAAGAAAATTTTCTTCTCACTAATCGTTTAACATAAATAAAAAAATATTAGATGATCTTAGGTGTAGATGTTTTTGCATTTGAACTCACTGAAAGTCATATTTTTTCTTTCCTGCTTCAAATAAGTCGGATCAAATTTAGAGGATGTCATATTCACTTCTCTGTCTTTTAGTCTGACATCTCCAGCATCATCAGGCCCAGACAATTTATCTCTGTCCCTGCTTCCCTGCAAGAAAAACAAATGTAACAATGAGCTGTAAACCTGGCTGCTTTATAAAGTCTAATTTTATAAGGGGAGTTGGACTGTTATAAAACTTAACCAGATTGAAGACACAAGCATTTGTGTAAGTAAAACGGTATACTTGAAATCCTACAATAGGCTTGGTTTTTTCAGCATCCACACATTCTTATTAAAGGGGGATGGCAGATGAGCTGGACTTTTTTGGGGAGAAAGCTACACAGCAGACTGTCTAAACAAACTAATGTACATGTCAACTATCCAGAAGCAAAGGCTCAGGAGTGAGTGGAAACAAATGCATCAAAGATTGCATTAAAGTCTCCCTCAAATCCATGAATAATGGAACTGAACTCATGGGAAACACTTGCTTTGGGTTGCCCAAGCCTGCAAATTTGCAAAGATTCACAGTTGCTAACACTCTTGCCAAAATGAAATCAAAAGAAACAGTTATCACTAATTAAAAAAAACAAATTAAAGTAGAGGTTTTGATGTAAATAGATAGTGGTAAAGATATATTTAAGCTTGAAAAAAAAACAGGATAATTAAACAACATTTAATTTTGTAACTGATGATAGATATATAATACTCATTCAAAAAAAGTCTCATACTTGCGACCTAACAATTTGACTCATTGCCTCTTCCATAGAATTTGGTCTTTTCAAGACACCTGTAGTTATGTCTTCTCTTAACACTTCTTCTGTTAGATGACCTTTATCTGCAGAAGAAGTAAATAGCAATAAATAATAATAATAGTTTACCAAAATCACAGGCTCTCAACATATTTTTCCTCCTCCATTTTATAACAGGGCTATAAAAAGAAAAACTTGCTAAAGTTCCTTAGGACATTAAATTTTTTAAATAAATAGAAAAAAGTGTTTTGATATCATAAATACTCTGGTGATGATGATTGAATATGTTTATAGCGCTTGTGTCCTTGCTATTTTAGCATACTCAAAGTGCTCTAATGCCCTAAAATCTATTGAAAGAAAAAAGTCTTAAAATGTTTCTTAAATAATCTTTTTATCATTTTCAATTTCCCTCAAAGATTGAGGCAAACTGTTACATAATTTAGGTGCAATAGCTGGTTGACCTAGTCCTAGCATCAAGCTTATTGGTGTTTTGTCTCTCACCTTCTACCACAACAGTTCCTTCCTTTATAATTGTCTCTAAATATGGACTTTCTCTCTCAGAAGGAGCTTCTTCCAATACAATGTTAACAGTAGGATAATGTTTACTGACTAGGCCTTGTGGTGCTTGAGGTGGGGGCCACATAGTAGGGGTGTGGTCTAAAGAATGAATAGAGATTTTGAAATTTAAAAAAATGAAACACACCCAATTAGTGTATTGAATATTCCCCATATCCCTGTACACAATTTATTAAAATATACTGAACACTGCTAATGATTCGATGTGACCACCTGAAATCTCATAGATTGCATGCTAAGTTTCCCCAATTTTAGGATGCTTTGAGCATACATGTGGATTACTGAACCTGTCATACATTGAAATTTAGTAAGCCCTACTTACTGGCTTCTAGATAATTTTACAATTAACCTCAGATTTGAAAATGTTTACCCTTTAGGACAGTTGATGTTAGATCTCTGTCCAAACCACTTTTAGGTGGCCATGACGTGGATCCATGGCTTTCAGCTCCACCATTTGACTCATCTTCTGACTCAAGAGTTGAGAGACCTATGGATCAATATTACAGAATTAGTTCAAAGTGTTTACTGGGTAGCTCAAAACAGAAATATAAGGATAATAAAATTGAATGCTTGAAAATTTTAGTGAAATTTGGAGGAAAAGAGATAAAATATTGCTAAAATAGTTTTTGCTCCTGTGATGAGAAAAAAATATTTAAACCTTTCCCATAAATCATTGTTTCAGATTCAGAGACTGCTTCCATAGGAACAGAAATCATTGGTAGTGGAACTTCCCATATCTCCTCTTCCTTGGGAAGAGTTCCAATGTTAATATCTTTGAGATATGTCTCTATGTTCTCAGAACCAGATTTATTCTCTTGAATGAGCAAAGCGTGCTGCAAAAAATTTCTGTGGAAATTCAAAGAGTATTTTTTAAATTAATTCAGTTTTAAATAAATTATATAAAAGTATAAGTATTGAGATTTGGAAGGGGGGGGGGTGTCTAGAAGTTTTTGTTTAGTTAAAATCGTATAATTTCTGTTAAAAAAAACTATGAACGACTATTGCTTAAAGAATAAGTACAGAAACAATTTATTTCATAAGCTTGAATATTTAAACAAAGAAGTATGCAAAACCCCTTGGAAAAAAAACCTTCCAGTGGTATTTAAATTTTAATTAATATTTTTAGATTTGCTTTAATTAATTAGATTTAAATGCCAATCATAACACACTATGAAATTTCAATAAAGTTATATATTAATAAATATAGTTATAATTATAGCTTGGGTATACATTATACATCATTGATACGGTGCTAATTTGAAAGCAAAAAAGTATTTTATAAAATATAGTCAAGTCAACTATGGTAGAATTCCAGAGTTAGTCAAATAAAATTGTAGGTCGCTTTAACACTAACATATTTGCAAAAAAACAGAGACTCTCTGGGTTTTATGCAAAACAATAAATAAGAGTAATATTTTTATGTAAAAATCCACTGCTATTACCATAAAAATGCAAATTGATGTTGCAAACACATTTTTTAAATTGATTTAGATCAACCTTACATTAAAATCATAATATTTTGCTTGTCTGCAATAGACAAAAATCTTGCAATGGCCTTGCTGAACTCCATATGATTAGAGACAAACTTTTCATGGATGTACAGATAGATTCCATCTATAATGCACTTCTCATCTTTTATCTCACTAATGTCTGGTCTGTCTTTTAACTCATAAATCACTTGGAGAGACTCAACCTGTCAACACACAAATGAGTATGTGAGCATGAAATTTCTCTATTACTTCAGACAACTTTTAAAAAACCCATTTTTTAGCAATTTTATGATTAACATACATGAAATTATATATTTTGAAGAACACTCATTTTACTCTCTTAGTATATTTAAATACTTTCATTGCTCTAAGCATTACAATTTGGTGTACATATCCAGACTTTTTTTATATGCAAGATTATGGAGATTATTTATGATGAACAAAAATATTATTTTATTCCAAAGACCTGACAAAATTTGAGACTTTTCAGTGAAGCAGCACTCTTTTGTTTAATTTCATCATAAACATCAGGCATAGCAGAAAGCATAAATCTTTGAAGAGGTCCAACAATGTTGTGAAGAAAAGTTTGTGCCTTGCTACACTCTTTGAAGCCAGTTGTTATGACTTTCTGACTGACACACTCACTAAATGGTTTGATGTCAGTAAATAACCCAATGAAGTAATCAAGGGACTCTTGATCTACAGTGTTATTCAAGCCTGTAAACAATTATCAACATATAATGAACACTAATTTAACCTAAAACTGTCTTCACATTTTATATTATTTAAAATAATAGATGTTTTAATTATTTAGTAGCACTTACATTGCAGATTGCTTACTTTATATAAAATATGTACATGGATATAAGAATTTTTTTTTAAAAAGTGATTGGAAAGCAAATGTACATGGTTAGGTTATGTTAAAATTACGGAAGCAAATAAATTATGTTTTTGCGTTTAACTTTTTTAGAACGATTGGTTAATGGAGTATTCTGTCTGTAAGTATATTTTTATGGTATCTAACACTAAAATGCCAAAGAAACTTTTTCTGGGTAATAATAATTTTTAATAAATCAATACTTTATCAGTAGATCTCAAAAGTTTATAATTATTTTGATATCATAACATTTTATAGAACTATTTCACTAAAACTCACTATATGACTTTAGAGTTTACAATGTTGAAATTATCTCTTGTATATGTTAGTATCGACAATGCTTATATTCAAGTTACTTTAACTTGTTTTTTATTTCTTGTCCTATTTTTATCTGTCCTGCCTGCTGATAAAGGCTCTTAGCTGAAACATTCTTGTCTCATTGTCCTGTTTCTTAACTCAAGCTTCCCCGTACTTTGTTCAACTATATCCTCAACACAGCTTTAACGCAGTCCTTCATTTTAGGCGCAGTCCTTCATTTATTGTCCTAATATTCAATGCACATTTATGCCGACACTGAAGGTGATGTTTTTTCCTCACACTAAGTCAGGTGACCACTAAAAGCTTATACATTTATTTGTTTGGCTTAATTTAATGTAAAATAAAGCAATTACCTCTGCATGAATTTACACCTAGGCTTTTAAAAATTAATTACTTGTAATAAATATTTTTAAAATTATTTTGATAAAACTTAAAATTTTAACCATTACAAAAAAGCTTAAACAAGAAGATAAATTCCTTCACCTCTTTTGTTTTTATTTCTGGTGCTAAGTGAGCTTTTTGTTTCCAGTTTCAGAAGATGATATTTGTGCTTTTCCAAATCACCGAAAACTTTTTCCAACTCTTCAGAGTTGGCTATCATTGGTTTGTCTTTAATGCTGACCCACTGACCCCGTTTTGTGGGGAAAACTTCTGACTCTTTCAATAATTCCATCACTTTTGGAAGATTGATTGTTGCCTTCTGTGCCATTGGAGTCATTACACCTTAAGTTAAAATGTGTTTTTAATAATAATTATCTCATTGAAAATGGTTTAATATACAACATTAATTTGCTATCTCTTTAAATAGATCCACAGAAAGTTATGAATCACTGTATTTTAATTTAAAAGTTATTATTGTATAACTTTACCTGGTATCTTTAATTAACTTTTGGTCAAATCTTTTCACAAATCTTACTAACAAAAAAAAAACACTCTACAAATCCTAGAGAACACTAGAGAACACTACTTTAAAACTGCTGATAGGCATATTGAGTTATGATTTTTTTATTAAAAGTTAATATTGTATAACTTTAACTGGTATCTTTAATTAACTTTTGGTCAAATCTTTTCACAAATCTTACTAACAAAAAAAAAACACTCTACAAATCCTAGAGAACACTAGAGAACACTACTTTAAAACTGCTGATAGGCCTATTGAGTTATGATTTTTTTTTCCAAGCATAACATAATTTACCCAATAACATTATTAACATAAATTACATGACAGAAATAAAATGAAAATATTTGGAAATTTTCTTGTAAAATTAATCATTCTGAATTAGTTAAAATTAAACCATAGATGGGAAAAACATAGCTTTTATTTTTACCTGCTTCTTTTTCTTCAATTTTGCTAAGATCCAACCCTATTTTTGAAAATAAGAACAATACGTCATCTAGAACATCTTTCTCTGATTGACTATAAACTGTGGTAATATGTTGTACAAGCTGAGCAAGATGGAAGGTGCTTGGTTCCATATCTATTCTGGCCATATTCACAAAAACCTCTTTTAATTTAGGATATGGATCCATCAGCTGAAAGTTTAATTCAGGATAAGTTGAATATCAAACATTTTCATTTTAAAACATCTGCAGGTAAAAGAAACAGATTCAGGATGACAAAGTAAATGTTAATTTAACCTATGTTTAGAAATCAAATGAAACACGTTATATTTAAGTCATCACATTTTTTAATAATATTGCTGTCTTTATTTTCAGAGACTATTAATAGTCAGATCTGTAGAGAGCTACAATATTCTAAACAATTTCAAACAGTCCTCATTTTAAATTAAATTTTTTAAAGTTTTGAATATGATTTAGGCAAAAACTTTAAAGTGTAAAATAATTCTAATAACTAAGAAATCTATCTTTTAACTTGTGAACTTTAAACATTTCTGTTTAACTAAAATAAATGCATGCCTACAATTAAAGATCTCTTGCACTGACCATAACATTAGTATAATTTTAACAATTTATAATTCAATGTTTCAATACTGATAGTAACATTTCAACAACTCACAATTTTTAAATTCCTCAAAGGAGACTTGAATTTCTCCAGAGATTCCTGGTACTTTGAAAAGAGCTCACTTGGGTCAGACCAACAAACCTCTTCCCTTTTCATCAGCATTCCCGCATGGAACTTCTCATTGATGAATTCAGCACTGGCCAAAGAGGTTGGGATAGGGATAAAAATAGCTGGTTTGTTATGGAAAAGATCCTGGCGGTCTTTTCCACTTAAAAATCTGTCCAGATACATGTACAGCTGAGGAGGTTTTAAAGGAGAATAAGTTTCTTCATTAACTGCAATCAAGGGAATTTCACAATCAACAGGAATTTCAATTTGTGTCTATGATTTATTTGCATACCACATGTTCCTTCATGAGTTTAGGAGCTGAACATTTTCTTTCTACTAACTATTCAATTTTCTGATCAAAAATGAAATTCTACATCATTGCTGTTCTGTACTATGAAGAACGTATTTACCTGACTTTCCCAATTTATACTTTCAAATGTATTTATGTAAAAAAAAAATATTTATTATTTAACTCTCCAGTTACATAAGCTAAAAATATGTATTGGTTGCTGGTGTGTACTGTAGTTGGCTATCTCAAGTCACAGTGCATAAACATGCCATGAAAATAGTTCAGTCTAATTGAGATCACACCTCAAAGACCAAAAAAAAAAATGTGATTAGACATAAACAGTAAAAAAAAGTTACCTCACTGAAATGCCAGCAAGTGGTACAGAAAATTCTGGGTGTATCAGGACAGTTACTCTCTCTGTCACACCATGAGATGATGACCTGGACCACATCCTCCACATTTACACCAGATTTTATCTGTGGAATATTCACAAAATATTTTTGATACAGACACAGTGAACTTATTTGAACTGAAGAGATTCAAGCACATATGCAATGATTAGCTATAAGTGTTTTCAGTGGCAGGCATTTTTCAAGCAATAAATTTCCTGTCTATCATTAAGAGATATAAAATAATTATATTTGATAACACATTTTCAGCGTAAGGTTATGTCTTTGATAAGAGCTTAAGTTTCAATAAAAGAACTACGCTTAAAATAGCCATGCTCTCTCATTTAAATTTAGACACTTTTGACTGATCATATGCTGGTAACCAAGCTAGGATGGAATGATCAACAATGTGCAAAGCAAAGCTCTTGCTCTCTATTCTTTCCTATGAACACAAAGGAGTATTCCTTCATTTCTGGCTTGCCTCACCATGTTGTCACGAATTGTGTTGCGTGTCTTTGTGATGTCATTGTCTAGACTATGACATGAGAAACACTTACACCTGTACACAAAAACATGTGACGCAAAGTCCTTTCCAGTTATTAGTTATAACACTTTTGTTACCCTCACACTTAAAACTAAGACATGTTCTCTCATTACAAATGTGGGTTGCGCTAACAAGCTTAGCCAAAGCTTATACCAATGGGATCACTGGCCTACTTTGCTAAAACAACAATTGTAACACTGACACATTCAGCGTCTGACTCACTCATTCTCCCCCTCACAACTGTCCACCTGCACACTACTATCCCCTTAAGTATTCCCTCCTAGTATCCATACGCTAAAAGTCCGATGAGAAATCAGGCACACTAACTCTCTAATCTCATTCATAACAAATTGAATTTCCCACAAAAACAGACTAACACCTTGACACATATGTTGTGGACCCCAAGTTCATTGCAAATAATTAGTAGGCTAGGGTTCCATCTACAACAAGAGATCTGGGCCTCTACTGCCTCTAAGGGTTGCAGCAGGACTAGTAACTGGGATTGAATGGGTGCCAGGTGAAGCCATCAGGATCTCATGCAATAGGTCTGTCTCCCAAGATGAAGGTGAGAGTTGCTGCGGCATCTCTCTCCGGGAGAGGGTAAAGAAAACAGAGTCTAGACCTTATTCTAAATATTGATAGTACAATTTATAATTAATGTCTAAGCGAGGGGCAGTCGAACCCCCTCCTTCCTTGCAGATTAGTGATGGGGCTCAGGCTGACTGTAGGTGCTGGTTCTATGGGGGCACTAGGTAAGGTGCCTCCTTAAAACCTTAGTAATTATACAGCTTAACTGTTGTGGGGTCAGAGGGAAAATAATTGAACTCACCAAGCTACTCGATAACCAGGAGGTGCACATGGCACTAATACTAGAGACCCTATTGAAGAAGCAACCCTGTGTGAAGTGCTGAGGGCTGTGATAAAAACCCTCACAGTGGAGCTTTTAGAGTGCAAGAATCTTGGTGGGAGAGATATTTCTGACCCTTAGAGTCGGATTAGGGTGTAAGTTATTTACCATTTAAAACTGTTATAACACACCTTGGAGCACGTTGTGCCTGCCCTTGGACGGCATAAGAACTTTTAACCAAACAATTATTGCATGGGATTTCAGTGCCCATATGGGAGATATGGGCTACCCAGAAAGGAATGCCTCGGGGCCATATTTAGATGAGGTTGAACTCGCTACCAACCTCATAAGGCAGCAAGAAAAAGACAGCGTCCCAATGCTGCTACATACAGGCAACAGTGTTCTGTCCTGACCGGAGCTCATACTAGTTTCAGCAGAACTAGATGCAAAAGTGAGGTTTGAAGTGCTCCCTGAGATTGATTGTGATCATCAACCAATACTCATAACTTTAGTTCTTGGGTTAGAAAAGGCAAGGTTTGATAGGAGGCACTGGCTATTCCGCAAAGCCAAATGGAATCTTTTCCACGAAGGAATAGAGAGCGTGATTGTGGAATTACCTGGGATCCCCAAAGTTTCACAGAACACCAATGTTGTTTACAACTTTGTTAGTGATAATCCAAGAATGGCAAAAAAGACCATTCCCAGATCACATGGAAAATGCAAGTTCTGACCTTTCTGGAGCAAAAGGTTGGCAGAACTTGTCCTTGAAAGGAAAAAAGCTAGAGCCAAAGCTGGAAGGCTGAAGATGGCAGCAGCTGGAGCTTCGACGTATTTATCAAGACAATGAAAGAAAAATGGCTTGGGATGTGTGAAAAACTTAACCTTGCAGATGGAAAAAAAGGTTTGGCGATTGATGAATTCTCTCTCTGGCGTGAGGAAAATGAGAAACCTAAGACCCTTGCAAACGAAGACAGGCTCGGCTACCACTGGTGCCAAAAGTGCTGAGGCCCTTAACAGGCATTTTGCCAAGGTATGTCTTAAACAGAGAGAGACCAAATGAAGCCAGAAACTTAACCGTATCAAGAAACATGAAGGGCCTTGTGCCAAAGTCTTCACCGCACCCTTTGCTCTGGTTGAATTGGAAAAAAAAGCAATCAACAAGAGCAAAGCTACCAGGGCAACAGGACAGGACAAGATCTGCAAAAAAATTATCAAAAACCTTGGCACGATAGCCAGAACAAAGCTAGTGAGCATCTTAAACAGAACATGGGTAACAGGAATCCTACCCAGAACTCGGTTAAGCACTACAATGGTTCCTATTCCCAAAGATGGAAAAAATAATGATCATCCAAGCAGCCACCATCCGATCTCCCTAACATCATGTTTAGGGAAGGTAGCTGAAAGAATGGTAAATGAAAGAATGAAAGACTCTAATGGCACCTGGAAAGAACTGACTGTATAAATACAAACCAGGCTGGATTCCGAAAGAGGAAGTAGCCTATATACCAGGCGCTCCGTCCTCTCCTGTCCATAACAGATGGGCTCCAAAAAAAATCCCATACTGTGGTTGTATTCTTTGACCTCCAACAGGCTTATGACAGAGTGTGGAGGTCCAGTCTATTGTAAAAATTACAAGGCCTAGGTATAACTGCAAACATGTACAGGTGGCTTGCTGGTTTTCTCACAAACCATACAATCGACACAAAGTTTGGCAGTGAAACCTCAAGGAAGAGAACTTTGGAACAGGGCCTACCATAGTTGTCAGCCCTTTGTTGCACTCTACATATCTATACAAATATCTATACAAGAAGCCTTTAGCAACCAAAAAAAGCTCAAGACAGAAACAAACACTATATATCTATACAACAAGCAAAGAGTGTTTGTCTCTGTCTTGAACTGTTTTTGTTGTTGAAGGATTTTTGGCAGAAATGTTCAATTTCTGTTATTGTCCTTCAGATTTTCCTCTTCCCTTTGTATACTTTTTATTGCTTCAACCTGAACTCAGTCCGCCCCGTATTTCTCTAATTTTTTTTTAAAGGATTTTTATATATGTGTAAAAGTGTGCTAATATTCTTTTCAACCTACTAAAATGACCATGTTACTTCTAAAGTGTGTTAAAATGAACTAGAAAAATCCTGTTTCTGAGAAATGATCTCAAAGACATAAGCAAAATATTTAGTTAAGATATTAGGGCATAGTAAATTTTCATTGCACTAAATAACAATGCAAATGCACTGAACATAGTATAATTAAAACTATAAGGACTTAGACGGGTGGATGGGACTCATCAATCTTGGATGGCAACTCATCTAAGAGAAGGAAACTCTGAATTCAAACCCAGAGAAGGAGTCCCGTAGGCGGATAACATTGGTATAATGAAATATTCTGACAACTCCTGCGACGCCACTGGTGCCAAGCTGTATCATCCATATGATGTTCCCCTGGGCTTATCCAGCAGCGTGGAGAGAGGCAATTTGCTGTTAGGAACCAGTTTATAATCCTAGAAGAATAATCCCAGGCCTTGTGGAATTCATCCTGCAAAGTCCACATCATCGTCACATTGTGCAGACGGATGCCAGCAACAACAAAAAAAAAAAAAGACCTTATCAGCAGTAATTCATCAAGAATCTCCACTTAGGAATTTTATGTAAAAAGTGAGCAGAAGCCAAAATCTTGGTCATCACTTCCACAGTAAAACAAATTGTTTCTGATCATCCTCACCTGTAAAAATGTTGTAAAGGGAGAACTCTTTTCCAATGGGATGTCCAAATATTTTACAGTGTAAGCTAGCCAACGTTTGACATCGTATACTTGCAGGTAGAGATCATTTGGCTTTTCTAAGGATGATTCAGTTTGAATATCCACTGGAGATCCTTGACTCGTAAATCTAACCAAAGTTTGTCGAGCAGGAACCCAAGCCAGAGATTTCAGCTGAACAGCAAAAGTGCTCTAGTGGGAAAAAATAAACTTTTCATTTATTTTAATAGTTTAAATAAATATAGTGATATTAACAGACATCACCTTATGCTATGCTCTGCAAATTTTTTTCACACCTAAGCCATATCCAGAATCCAACGGCACACCACAAGTGAAAAAAGATACACAACATATGCACACTAAATA